ATTGCACATGTTAATGATGGTTGGTTTAGAAGGTACTGATTTATTTGGTTATGATTTTAGTGATGCTCTTGGTAAAAAATTTTCAAAGTGAAAACAGAAGAATAAAGTAAAGAAATTTTAGCACCTAAAAAAATTTCCTTTTTTTAAAGTTTTCTTCCGGAAAATTTTTAGCATTCAGGAGAAACTTCCTTTTTTTTTCAGACCCTATTTCCAGCCCTGATCGCCACAAAATTATAATAATGATCGGCAAAATTTTGCAGTTGTCACACGGAGCACGAATTAATTTATTTCACTTAAGAAAGCAATAAAAGCTATTTATTTATTATCTTTGTTTATTTGTTGTTTTATTAATATCAAATAATAATACACAGCGAAAGGGTTTTTAATAATGTGATAATAATAATAATGGTCGCATAAACAATTCTTTCTGATTGTATCATTTACCATAGATCCATCTTTTTTTTAAAAAAAAATTTTTTTTTAATTAATGCAATGTTGTATATACATAAACCCTTTAATAATTTATTATTAATAATAGGAGTATTAGTAATATCAATAGAATATTTTGATGTTGAATGATGAAAAAAAATTTTAAATGTTTATTAAAATGTTATTATAATTAAATTTTAGTATGATTCAATTAATCTTGGAAGGAAATATTTTAAATATGAATGAATGAACAAAATATTTTGTAAAATTTTGATCCTTCAAATGCTATTTATACTAACAAGTTATTAAAATCAACAGGTCCTCCTTAACCCATTAATTCCAATAAATTGACAAGTAATTGTAATGGTAATTTTAATTATTGATTAATCTCTTTGTTACTAATAATTAATCTTTAAATATTAACTCTTAAGAGATATAGGTGTACTAAATTTATTGCCTAATTAAATTATTATCATCATCAATATTATTGAAATATGATTTTTCCAAAATTTAAAATTATAAAATAAATTTATCAATCATATTTTTATCAAATTAATGAATTTGTATTCTCATTACTATGAAGTAACCTATCAATCCAAACAATGAAATTGCTCCAACAATCGAGAGAAACCATATGAGATTGTCCTCATCTTGACCAGGTACTTTAACATTCATTCCAAATAATCCTACAATAACAATAAATAGATTAATAATATATTATCAGTCATGTTAATCATGTTTTATTTATTTATTTTAATCTACCTGTTACAACATTCATTGGTAAAAGTATTGTGGCAAATGCTGTTAACTTGTTTATAATATTATTGGTTTTGTTGCTAAGTTGTGTAATTTCAATAGATATTTGTGCAAGGTAATTTGAGTGTGCTCGTGACAAAATCAATTCATAATGATTAAGATTCTGTAACATTGTAAGAATATGATCTAAAAATAAAAATAGTATTTATGAGATCAATAGATCAATGAAATCATCCAATTTAATAATTAAATCAATATCTAATTGATAATTACCTTGAATATCACCTAAATAAAGAACAACATCCCCAGGCCCATGTTTCTCACCAAGTTTTTCACCACCTACTGCAATTATTTCTTCACATCTTTTAATCAATGCTTTGATAACATCTGCTTTTGTACCCAACAATTTTAAAAGTGTCATCACCATCTTACGACAAATTCCTATTCTCATCAACATATCTTGTTGCTCTGAATTCTTAAGCACCATCACCAATTGATCAATTGCATCTGATTGAAACTCTACTTGGCGTATAAGTGGTGCAAATGAATCAGTTATATCATCGATTAAAGCATAATTGATCCAATCTGAATTATTAATTATCAATGAGAAGATTAAATGAAAATTATAAAATTTTTATTGATGCATGAAATTTAAATAATTTTTCTTGGAAATTTAATTTACCAGGTGTCACTCTGATATAATCCTTTAATTGACGTATTCTTCTTCTCACATTATGAGCATGTGGTGTTGGTTGAAAATGAAACTATAAAATAATTAAATATTATTTATTGTTGTAGTTATTAAGCAATTCACATGAAATATTTCTTATATCAATAACTAAATAATAAAATAAATAAAATAATAATAATAATAGCAGTAGTAATAATAATAATAATTAATACATTAAAATCACAATCACTTACTGATAGTATTCCTTCTCTCATGACAACATTAAACATGCTTGTAGGTTCAATATCTGGTGGAATACAATTGTTTTGATCATATGATTGAAAATTAATGAAATAATAATTTTTGAATAATTCACATTTCTCTCGTGATTCTTCTGTCTCAATATCTTCCATTGTCAAAGGATGAATTTGAAAAATCTACAACATCATATATATATTAATAAAATGATGATATAAATATTGTGAAATAATTTAGTCATTTTACATCAACTTCAAATCCTCTTCATAATTACCGAACTTAAAATCCTCATTTCTGAATCAGTTGGTGATAATACATCAATCCAAAAGCATCCTTGTCTTAATAATTCTGTCATTGTTTGACCTTTTGGTGGAATCTCTGAAAAACAGTTGGCTCGTATAGTGCCTGTCTCTGTAGAATAAAATGTAAATCGTAATTCTTCGGTAAGATCTGGTGGCTAATTATAAAATATATACATTTTTTTTTATTTAATTTTAATATAATTCTTTATTAATAATCAAACCAAATCACCTTAATGTTTTCTGTATATTGACTAAATCGTCGAGTTGATGAAATTGTTCTTGCTTCATCATCATTATTGTCAACAGTAGTGGTGGAATTATTCTTTTTCTTTGCCATCAATGCATTTTCTTCTCTAATATATTCTTCCAATGCTTCAAAATCTATTCCCTCTTTTTTATGTGGTGGTCTTATAGGATAGCACACATCTTCCTCAGCATTTGAAAGCTTTCTATTAATGTTAAGATTATTCAATTTCTCATCAAATATTGAATTCTCGTCAGCCACTTGTTCATTTTCTTGGATTTTAATTACATAATTTTTGTTATTGTTTAATAAAATAGATTTTGATTTATCTAAAGTACTAGAGTCATAATTGTTATTCACTACACTTGTTGTTGATGACACTAACTTATTATCAATATTATCGTTATTGCTTGATGGTGTTTCATTTACACTTTTTTGTTGATTTTGTAATTGGTTGTTGTTATTATTGACTTTAATAGGTTCTTCTGTCTCTGGTAATTTCCCTTTTTTTTTTTCATCACTTTTATTCGAAGACATTTTCATTTGTACTTAATTAAACAATGTAGCGATAATAAAAGTACTACATAGTTAATATAATGTGCATTGTCGATTTAGAAATTTTATTGGCGGTGCAGATCATCTATAATCATTAATATTAACTGCTTATCCCTTAAATGGTTAATCAGCTATTGATAGCTGATCGTTAAATTGTCCAATACAGTCAGGTATTTTATCCAATATGGAAATCGATTCTGGAAAAATTCGAACCCCCTCGTCGATCAATTCATATATGTTGCAAATGAGTTTACGTGATGCTTCCATAATATGTAAAAAAATTTTTTAAAAAAATCCAAATTATAATAATCGAAATAAATACTATTCAATTTTCTCTTTCATAATCACTCAATAATCACTAATAATCAGTCAAATTGCTCAAAGTATGTTGTTTTTAAAATCAAAGAAAGTTATGCACTAGGAATTTTTTTTTTTTTTAAATATTTTTTAGATAAAACACAAAAACCAACTGTTAACACCTTATACTGTTTATTTACCACACTTACTCAGCAATATTCTAAAAGCTGGGTCACTGGGTCCAAGATTTCAAAAAATAAATGAGTTAAAAAAGGGGAATTTTGTTAAAAGCTTGTAACTTTATACAAAAATTCTTTTTAATAATACTATCAGAAGAATAGATAAAATAAAAACCTCTAGTTTCAGATTAACTAAGATATTTCACAGTAAGTTCTAGATATCAAATATGTTAATTTAAAAAAGATTAATTTAAAAAGAGTGATTTTGTTAACCAACTTTACAATATTTCTTATTAATAGTAACCATAGGAATATAGAACAAACTTCTAGTTTCAGACTATCAATTAATATGCTCTAAATTTGCCTTTATCTAAATTTACAAATATAAATGTAAGAATTATTTAAAATAATTATATATATATATACATACATACATACATGCACACATATTAAATTTATATATTTATTGTTTTATGAATTATTAAAAGTATTCTGGTTTTTATGCATGCATATATTCAATGGGTAAGGTGAATGATTTAGTTATAATCATAGAACATATAATACATAATATTGATTGATTATTTTTATTATCAATTATTAAATGAGATATTAATGATATTAATGAATGATAGGTAAAGGAAAATTTTGTACATAATGTTAAAATCATCTATCTGATTAATATACTATATGTTAAATCACAAACAATGACATTCTCATATTGCTTAATCCTGTAATATGGCCAGTTAATAAAGCTCCCAGCATGTTTTTCTTTATTATTAATATTTTTATTCAAAAAACGAAAAGAATTTAGCCAATCAGAATCTCTTTTCATGGCGTCAATCATTACAGGGCATTATCCCGGCTGTTTTTAGCCAATCAAAATTTCTTCTAGAATTTTTCATAACGTTGATCATTACAGTATTTAGTGTTTCGATATCGAGTAAAATACTTGACTGTATTTATTATAAAAATAAAAATAAAAATAAAAACATCGTCTTTATTTTCTTTATTTAAACCATAGTTATTGCCTTGGTAAAAAGGCAACAATTGTGGGGCTTTGGTAAAAAGACACGCTTTAGTGAGCAAGCAAGCAAGATTAGGACTAATTTTGTTGGCTAGCCATGGGTGTCAATAAAGTATCATCCAAAGGTTAATTGGAAATACTGGTGGTATTATTGTAATCATAAATGTAAGGCTATTAAACAAGCTACTTGAGTTGTTTTGTAAGTAAACCAAAGCGAGTTTGCAAACAGTCAGCAAACAACTGAAACAAAACGATCATAAGTGAATAAAAGGAACTTTATAACATTGCAAAAGGGCCATCTTTATTTAATTACAGTTATCTGTGACCATCAAGTATGCTCACAGATTTGTCTAGATGCAAGAAGAAAGAGGGAAGTCGTAAACTAATTAAATGACAAGCACCAAATTATTAGCTGACAAGAGTAGCCCAAAAATTAAGTCATAATTGTTAATTAAGAGAAATGATATCTTGTAATATCATCATTTGACAAGAATCATGGAACTGTAAAAAGTTTATTATAAGAAATATTATTATAAGAAACAAAATAAGGATAAAATAAAAAAGATAAATAAAAAGAAGATAATAAATTTATAATGGAAATTAAATTAGTCACTTTTCATTTACTATTGTTATTAGAATTTAGTTAGTAATAATTAATGGATAGTAACTTCCAATTAATTAATAATGAAATTTTTATTCACCTTTGTTAAAATTCTAGAGAAAAGAGTTACAATCAAGATTATTTAATGAACTAACATTACTTGTATAAATTTTAAAGCTTTTAGATTTAGCAATCTCTTCTTCTAATATTCCACCTGTATGATATGCATCTGGTTGTGATTTATGTGTTTGTTGAGAACCACCACCACCACCACCACCACCACCATCGCCACTGCTGCTGCTACCATTATTAAAATCGATTTCATGTTTTTTGATTTTAGAAAATTTGAATAATTGCTAGTATTATTTTTCAAACTTTCATTTTTAATAATTTCTTCAAGTTTATTATAAGCAAACTCAAACAGCTCTCTGCTAGTTAGTCTTTTAGATGGATCCACATCCCAACACCTCTGCATCATTTCCCAGGCATTTCAGGTAGTATTGATTTTCGTAACCCTTCTTCACATTTTTAAAAAACAAAACAAGATTTTGGATCTTGAT